AAGAATTATTTTTAAGAATCTATTATAGTTCTTTCCAAACACTTTTGTGTTTTTATTCTCATCAATTTATCCGTTTACTCACAGTGAGTGCTCAAATAAGCAAACCAACAATGTGATGTGATAAATTAAGTATACACTATCTTATATAATATTTTAAAGTTTTTCTAAACCCATTAATGAGATGATGCCATGTCTCACCTATTCATTTGATATTTGTCTTTTTGATTTATTTATTGAAAGAATATTTTAAAGTTTTTCTAAACTCATTTCATGAGAATATGCCATGTGTCACCCATTCATTTGATATTTGTCTTTTTGATTTATTTATTAAAAAAAAATTAAATATTTTTAATAATAAAAATTAATTCCTATAATTAATGTAAGCTAATTTCAAAATTTAAAGTGTAAAAGATGACCAATTTCAGTTGTTTTTTTCTTTCTTTGATATCTACCAAACCTTAAAGTGCTAGGTGAATTGTCAGGATACTCCGATGTAAAGGGATGCTACATTCTAAAGAAATCTGCAATGAAGATTTGGAAGAGTCTAAGAGTGAGTTTGTTTCTTCAAAACCCTATTCGGTACGGTTTCATTAGATTTGAAACCCTAATAAAGTTCGTTTCTCCCTTTAGACTTTCTTCGATGACGAAATCGAGAAGATGGGAGTGGAGAAAAGGTATTACCCTATGTTTATACCTCGTGATTTTCTCGAGAAGGAGAAGGATCACATTGAAGGGTTTAACCCTGAAGTTGCTTGGGTTACAAGAGTTGGTGATTCTGATTTGCCAGTCCCATTAGCTCTACGTCCAACTAGTGAGGCCGTGATTTACCCTAATTTTAGGGTCGAGATTAGGAGCCACCGTGATCTTCCATTGAAGATTAATCAATGGGCTAATGCTGTTAGATGGGAGATTAAGGACCCTACTCCATTCATCAGGTATAACAACATTCTATATATGAATCTTGTTTCTTTCCATTGATACTAAACTGGTTTAATCCTCGCAGGAGCCGTGAGTTCCTTTGGCAGGAAGGGCACACTGCTTTTGCCACCAAAAAAGAGGCTGACGAAGAGGTATGTACATGAATACCAAGTTTGACTCTTTTCGTCCCAAATCGATTAGTAGCTAATCGAATAGTATCCCAAAACATGTATAGGTGCGTCATGTTTTGGATCTATAGAGCTGCTTGTATGAAGAGTTTCTTGCAGTTCCTGTTATTAAAGGTTTTAAGAGTGAGAATGAAAAGTTTGCTGGTGCACTTTACACCACAAGCATTGAGGTAATATAGCTCTCACTTTTTCTCGGAAATCGGAGATAATCAGAATAATCTTTGAATGAATGAATCAATACTCTCTTTGATACTTTCGGGCTTTGATCCCAAGCGCTGGCCGTGGTATACAAGCTGCAACCTCACATTGTTTGGGACAAAACTTTGCAAAGATGTTTGACATAACCTTTGAAGATAATAAAGGAAAGAAATCAATTGTATGGCAGAACTCGTGGGGATTCAGTACCAGATCGGTAATTTGTTATTATCTTATTTGATTTTTTTGTTTTCATGTTTTTGTAATGTTCAATTTCTCTAACATTAAAACTTGTTATATGTATATATAGATTGGAGTAATGGTTATGACTCATGGAGATGACAAAGGCTTAGTATTTCCTCCAAAAGTCGCACTTTATCAAGTTGTTGTGATCCCTGTTAATGCTGATTCTCAAATACTCTGTGATGCCTGTGAAGCTGTTGGATCCGTGTTGATGTAGATAACCGCGATAACTATTCTTGCGGCTGGAAGTATTCAGATCAGGAACTGAAAGGTGCTCCATTGAGAATCGAAATTGGTCCAAGAGATTTGGCTAAAAATCAGGTTATATTCGTCTAGTCTTTTTCCTTTACTACTAGTTTATCGGCGCTAAACGGTTTCTTGGATTCTGAGGCAGGTGAGAATAGTGAGACTCGATACGGGAGCTAAGATGGATATTAAGAGAGAATACTTGATTGAAAAAATTAAGGACTTGCTTGAAAACATCCAGAGAAACCTCTATGATGTCGCAAAGAGAAAGGTCGAAGAAAGCACTCAAAAGGTTGAAACTTGGGATGATTTTGTTGAAGCTCTTAGCCAAAAGAAACTGATTTTAGCTCCATGGTGTGACGAAGTTGAAGTGGAGAAGGATGTGAAAGAGCGAACCAGAGGTGATGGAACTTTAGGCGGAGCTAAGACTCTATGTACTCTACTTGAGCAGCCTGAACTAAGAGAAGGTTTTTGTGTTATATATTAACACATTAATAATTTAATCAGTAAGTAATATTATGACTAATTTTTGTAATAAACTAATCTCTTTGAATTCTCTCTGTAGATACTCTATGCTTTGCATCAAGAAAGCCAGCGAAGAAATGGACCTATTGGGGAAGAAGTTACTAAGCTCTAGCTTTTTATGTCAAAAGCAAATTTGGGACTCAATATCTTTACTTTTTATGTTATTTTTTACGACTTTAATGAACTTATAATGTCACTAATCTCGGCGACATTTCGGTTAATGTAGACTTTAAAAACCTTTCTTTGGCAGATGATTGGTGATTGATTCTCACGAAAAAGTAATGTTCATTTATATCTGATTAAGAAATCTTTAAACATAAGTGAATCCATATTCGAATAAACAAACCATCAGGACAACTACTCTAAAATCCTAAGAGACAAATCATTTGACACAGACCTTCTTTCTGTATAGATATCAGATATCAATTGGTTTTTTCTACTATTAGCACTTCGGTTTCTCATTGGTTTCCGGATACTGTTGTATTTGGGTAGTCAATAAGAGGAGTGTGTTCGTGATTAAAAAAAAGTATAGATATCAGATACATTATTTCATGAAATGGTTTTAATTAAAGAGACTACAGATAACCAGATTTTTTTTACTAGAAACAAGAGAGATAAAAGCAGCAAGAGAGTTGCATCATATGAGAGATCCGGCTACAATCTACATAGGGTGTCTTTATTAACATCCTATCGCGACTGTCAGTAAAATCAATCCACTCTTCAAACCCATCAACATATATTGGTACTAATTGT